TGGAGGTTGCAGTGAGCCAAGATCGCACCATTGCATTCCAGCCTGGGTGACAAGAGTGAAACTCTGTCTCAGAAAAAAAAAAAAAAAAAAAAGAAAAATGGAACAGGGAAGGCTGGGGCGCCAGTGGCTCAAGCCCGTAATCCCAGCACTTTGGCGGAGGCCGAGCACGGGCGGGATCACGAGTTCAGAGATGCGGAACATCCTTGGTCTAACACGGTGAAACCCCGTCTCTACTAAAAAATACAACAAAACGGCTCGCGGCGCCGGTGGCTCGAAAGCCTTGTAATCCCAGCACTTTGGCGAGGGCGAGACGGGGGGCGAGGATCACGATGGGTCAGGAGATCGAGGACCAGTTCCTGGCTAACACGGTGAAACCCCCGTCTCTGTACTAAAAATACAAAAAAAACTAAGAAACCCGGGAGGCGGAGCTTGCAGTGAGCTGAGATCTGGCCGCTGCACTCAAGCCTGAGCGACAGAGCGAGACTCTGTCTAAAAAAAAAAAAGAAATGGAACAGGGTGATATACAAGGGAGTGATTGGATATGCATGTTGGGTTAAGGGTTTTTTGATTTGGGGATTCACAGAATATTTCACTGAAGAGGCATCCTGTGAGCTGTGAGCTCGATGAGAAAGAGCCCACTGTTAGGAAGGTTGTTCCAGGGACAAGGAACAGCAAGTACAAAGGCCCGGAGGTCGGAATGAACTCAGTGTGCTCACAGAACAGAAAGAAACCCGGTGTGCCTGGAGAGCAGCCAGGGCCGGAGGAGAAGTGGGCAGCACGCTAGATGAACACAGCTCTTGCAGCCTTACCAAGGCATTTGGATTTTATTATGAATGTGAAAGGAAGCTGCTGGGGGTGGGCGTTAAGCAGAGGAGTGCCTCGATCTAATTGATGTGCTAAAAAGAACACTCTGCTTAAGAAGCAGTTGCTTTCCCAACCTGGTTCCAACATTTGCAAACACTGATTTCTTAAAAGTGGAATGACTGGGTCAGCGAGTTTAGACATTTAAAATGTTCCTGGGTGCTGCCAACTGCCTCCCCCCAAAAATAGCTCTAGGTTTTACCCTAAGGGTGCCAGCGCCTGCGATAGCCTGCAGCATTTGGGGTGAGGGTCGGGTGAATTCGCACCCCTGGGCCCCAGCACCCACTCTGGCCGTTGCTTTCCTTGTAGGACCTTCGCCTCTGCATTTGCCCAGTAACTCTGGCTGTGCCGGATACTGCTTGGGTAAAACGAGTACCCCAGGAACATGGCAGACGAAGATCTCATCTTCCGCCTGGAAGGCGTTGATGGCGGTCAGTCCCCCCGAGCTGGCCATGATGGTGATTCTGATGGGGACAGCGACGATGAGGAAGGTTACTTCATCTGCCCCATCACTGATGACCCAAGGTCCAACCAGAATATCAATTCCAAGGTTAATAAGTACTACAGCAACCTAACAAAAAGTGAGCGGTATGGATCCAGTGGGTCCCCGGCAAACTCTTTCCACTTCAAGGTGAGTGAGCCACCTACACCACCTTCCCCACCCAGGTTAGCTGCTGTGTAAGGGATGGAGGGTTGGGGTCGCTGGTTGGGGTCTTCTTCGTATTTCCAAACCCTGGCCAGTGCTCTAAACTCTGATCTGAGGATATACTTGTTAAGCAGGGAGGGTATTGTTGCTTTAAAATAAATTTCATTACCTTGGAGCTGGGTGTTTTTCAAACAGTAGCCCAGGGCACACTACAGAGTTGTGAAAACCGTTTGCTGAGTTTTGTCCAGTGTTTTGTTTTGTTTATTTATTTATTTTAGTTTTCTTTAGAGACAGAGTTTTGCTCTGTCACCCAGGCTGGAGTGCAGAGGTGCTGGGTTTGTTTTTGTTTTTTAAAGAAATGGAACAGAACAGAATAAAATAGCAACTACTGGGGAACATTGCAAACTGTAAAGATCTTCTTTCTTTTTAAAAGCTTTTATTTATTTATGGCAATAGAAAATTCCCAAACTAAGGACCTTATTTCTCTTTCTCTCTTTCTTTTCCTTCCTTCCTTCCTTCCTTCCTTCCTTCCTTCCTTCTCTTTCTCTCCCTTCCTTCCTTTCTTTCTCTCTCTCTCTTTTCTTTTCTTTTCTTTTCTTTTCTTTCTTTCTTTCTTTCTTTCTTTCTTTCTTTCTTTTCTTTCTTTCTATCATTCTCTCTCTCTCTCTTTCTGTATCTTCTTTTTTTTTTTAAATAAACATGGTCTTGCTTTGTTTCCCAGGCTGGCGTTCAATGGCACAATCATGGCTTACTGCAGCCTTAAATTCCTAGGCTCACGCAAGCCTCCCACCTCAGCCTCCTGAGTAGGTGGGATTATAGGCTTGCACCACTATACCTGGCTCATTAAAAAAATTTTTTTTTGTAGAAATGGGGTTTCCCAGGCTGGTCTTGAACTACCACGCCCAGCCACTTGTTGTTCATTTTTGGAAGAATTTATTTAACAATATAATTTTAGGTTAGGCATGGTGTCTCACACCTGTAATGCCAGCACTTTGAGAGGACAAAAGGGAGGATCACTTGAGCCTAGGAGACCAGCCTCAGCAACACGGTGAGACCCTGTCTCTCAAAAAATAAAATAGGCTGGGTGCGGTGGCTCACGCCTGTAATCCCAGCACTTTGGGAGTCCAAGGCAAGTGGATCACCTGAGGTCAGGAGTTCTAGACCAGCCTGGCCAACATGGTGAAACCCCGTCTCTACTAAAAATGCAAAAAATTAGCCAGATGTGGTGGCGCACACCTGTAATCCCTGCTACTTGGGAGGCTGAGGCAATCACTTGAACCCAGGAGGCAGAAGTTGCATTGAACCAAGATAGCACCACTGCACTCCAGCCTGGACAACAAGAGTGAAACTCCTTCTCAAAAAATTAAAATAAGTACATTTATTATTCATTTTATTTTTTTGAGACAGAGTCTTGCTCTATTGCCCAGGCTGGAATACAGTGGTGGGATCTTGGCTCACTGAAACGTCTGCCTCCTGGGTTCAAGTGATTCTCGTGCCTCAGCCTCCTGAGTAGCTGATATAACAGGCATGAGCCACCACATCCAGCAAATGTTTTGTATTTTCAGTAGAGACAGAGTTTCACTGTGTTGGCCAGGCTGGTCTCAAACTCCTGGCCTCAAGTGATCCACCTGCCTCCGGTTCCCAAAGTGCTGGGATTACAGGTGTGAACCACTGTACCCAGCCTAAAATAAATTTAAAAACATAATTTTATTGAAAACCATTTGGTAGGTGCCAGCATGGGGACTTGATCACATGAAATTTGCATTTCTTTACTGCATATTATCTATCTGTCACCAGGCTATGCATTGAGTACAGAGAGGCAAATAGCAATTGTTTACAGACTTAACAATCTCCCCATTTATCAGCAGAGACATTCAAGTGGAGAAACAAACAAAATAACTGTTAGTTACTTTGATAGAAACTTGTTTTAGGCACACTGAAAAAAAAAAGATCTCATTTAATACTTACAGCTATCTTGGCTGGGCACAGTGACTCGAGCCTGTAATCCCAGCACTTTGGGAGGTGAAGAGTTTCAGACCAGCCTGGTCAACATAGGAAGACCCCATCCTTATTAAAGAAAAAAAAAAGAAAGAAAAAACGCTTACAGCCGTCCTATGTAGTTACAACTATGAAAGATAGACTAAATTTTTTTTTTTTTTTTTTTGAGACAGAGTCTCGCTCTGTCACCCAGGCTGGAGCGCAGTGGCACGATCTCGGCTCACTGCAATCTCCACCTCCCAGGTTCAAGCAAGACTAAATTCTTATTAATCATTACTTTTGAAACAATACCTAGTATTGTGTGTCACACATTATAGGTGCTTAGTAAATGTTATTTCCCTCTCTGTTGCCACATTCCAGGAGTGTGGCCCTAATAATTTGTCATTGATTATGAGAATTAATGGTTTTTTAAAATCTTTCTACAAATTAGCTACCTTTTTCCAAATTTGTTTACTGATTAAAATCTCATGCTGTGGGCCGGGCACGGTGGCTCACGCCTGTAATCCCAGCACTTTGGGAGGCTGAGGCGGGCAGATCACGAGGTCAGGATTTCGAGACCAGCCTGGCCAACATAGTGAAACCCTATCTCTACTAAAAATACAAAAATTAGCCGGGCATGGTGTTGCAGTAAAACTCTAGCCAAGGAAAAGACAAAGAGACCTTTGGAAACCAAAGAGAACTTTATTTAATTCGGGTACCCGGGCTGGCAGCAGGCTCACGCCTAAAATGGCTGCCGACCCCAACATAGAAAGCAGGCTGGTTTATATGTCGTTTGAGGCGGGAAAACGAGGCAGGATACAGGTTTCAGACAAAGACAGTAAATTATTTAACCCATGACAATTCCGAGAAAACTTAAAATTTAGTTATCTTGACCAGTCAACCTTGAAGCTGGACAGCTCAAGCTGAGGTAAGGGAAAACAGGAATTACAGAAACATGTGGGGGTCTGGAGGCAGGCAATAAGCTTGGAAGGGTGAGATAAGCTCACAGATGCAACTTGTTAGCAATGCTGGGAGAGGTTGCTTAAATTTCTTAGCCTATGTATCACTTCTAAATAACCTATACTTAATGTTAACTATTACTTATGTTTTTATTAGTTTTAGCTTTATTATTATTTTATTTTCCTTCCACAATGGTGGTGCATGCCTGTAGTCCCAGCTACTCGGGAGGCTGAGGCAGGAGAATCCCTTGAACCCAGGAGGCAGAGGTTGTGGTGAGCCGAGATTGCGCCACTGCACTCTAGCCTGGGCAACCGAGGAGACTCCGTCTCAAAAACAAAAACAAAAACAAAACAAAACAACAACAAAAGAAAAAGAAGAAGAAGAAAGACCCTCATACCGTGGCAGATTTCCATCTCAAGTGTCTTCTACATTTGTCCAATTGTGTGTTGAATATTTTGAAAGCACCCCTGCATATGTGTGTATGTGGGTATAGAGACATATGTGCAATGTGATGCTTCATGTTGGTTATCTTAAAAAAACAAACAAAAAAACACTTTTTAGGGTTGGACATCCTTCTCTGGACTGAGGAAAAGCATACTTATTTTGATAGGGATTTCTGTTCATACCATAGCAAAGCTGGTATAAAGAAGAGGGGGAGAGGCTGGGCGTGGTGGCTCATGCCTGTAATCCCAGCATTTTGGGAGGCCAAGGCAGGCAGATCACCTGAGGTCAGGAGTTTGAGACCAGCCTGGCCAACATGGCGAAACCCTGTCTCTACAAAACCACAAAAATTAGCTGGGCGTGGTGGTGCCGCCTATGGTCCCAGCTACTCAGGAGGCTGAGGCACGAGAATCACTTGAACCCGGGTGGCGGAGGTTGCAGTGAGCCAGGATCGTGCCACTGCACTCCAGCCTGGGTGACAGAGCGAGACACCGTCTCAAAAAAAGAAGAGGGGGAAAGGCGAACATTATTGGACTTTGTATAATAACTGGTGGGGGTAAAACATCAAAAGTGCAATACCATTATCCTTAATCAAATCCTCACAAACAGTTAAGTATCAGTACTGTAAACAAAATTCCTATTACCACTTTGGGATTTGAAATTAAAAATATTCTGGCCAGGCATGGTGGCTCACGCCTATATTCCCAGCACTTTGGGAGGCCGAGGCGGGTGGATCACGAGGTCAGGAGATCGAGACCATCCTGGCCAACACAGTGAAACCCCATCTCTATTAAAAATACAAAAATTAGCCAGGCGTGGTGGCTCATGCCTGTGATCCCAGCTACTCGGGAGGTGGAGGCAGGAAAATCCCTTGAACCAGGGAGTTGGAGGTTGCAGTGAGCTGAGATCGCGCCATAGCACCCTGGCCTGGCGACAGAGTGAGACTCCATCTCAAAAAAAAAAAAAAAAAAGATTCTTCCATAACTTCTAAATTAATGTTTTTAGAAAATTAATAATTTTAGTTCTTGGAGATAGTTGGGTAATGTTTTCCCTTTAGGCCTAGAGTTCTAGCTGGAGTTACTCTGGGGCAGGCAGCTCCAGAAATAGCCCCGTGGGTCTCCTCTGGGGTCGGGACCCCTGAAGGGGCAGGTTTCCACTGATCCTGTTTCCTGTCCTAAGGCAGCTTTGAAATGAACACCCATCCCCAGGAGGGCAGCTCAAGTGTCCACAAGAGGGACTGATTTAAATTACAGGCGGTGGTTCTCACAGAATGTTGTGTTTACATTAGAACAAAGTTGATGTTTCTTTTTTTCTTTCTTTCTTTCTTTTTTTTTTTTTTTGAGACAGGGTCTCACTCTGTTGCCCAGGCTGGAGGGCAGTGGCGCGCTCTTGGCTCACTGCAACCTCCACTTCCCAGGTTCAAGTGATTCTTGTGCCTCAGCCTCCTGAGTAGCTGGAACCACAGGTGCACGCCACTATGCCCTGCTAATTTTTGTATTTTTAGTAGAGATAAGGTCTCGCCATCTTGCCCAGGCTGGTCTTGAACTCCTGGCCTCAAATGATCCGCGCTCCTCAGCCTCCCAAAGTACTGGGATTAGAGGCATGAG